AAATTCATAAAATATTAATAAAATTATGTGATATTAATAAAAAAGTAAGTGACAGTAACTACTTGCCATTTGCGGTAATCACTTTGATAGAGTTTCTGTCTTCGACAGAATATAAGGACAAAGGATCACCCAAATTCAACTTTCCAATCAACTCTAAACCTCCCAGGGCATCATTCTTGTTTACATCATTAAGGGTAAGATTGAATGCCTTAATCCTAGCAGCATGTAGAGATCCTCCAAAAATGGTCAACATAAATAAAACTTTCACTGGTCCATCCGCAATCTTATATATTTTATTTGAACTACCATTAGATGGTTCAGTTATTAAGCCATAAGTTCCTGAATTGTATCCTTTCACTTCAAAATGAGGCAGAGCTTCGTTTCCCAGAACCAAGCTATTAACTTCTTTTCCTGCATTTAAAGCGACAGCATCAAACCGTTCAGCAAACCACGCACGTACAAAGAAGACATTCTAAGCTATTTCTATTGTTAGAGTCACAACCATTCTCTTCAACCTCTTTTCAAGGAGATTTACATGAAAAGGCAGCAACAACTTCATCGTGGGTTGGCAAATTTACCACATGATTCATATTTCCAAGCAGATTTTGGAAATGTGTCTGTTGCCTTACTATTTTTATGACTTTCATTTTCAGGAGTCTTCCTCTCTGCAACTATCTTAAAGCGACAAGGAGATAATTGAGAGCAATTGAATTGCATTCTCTGAATTGATATTACATCCCTTTAAATAAACCCCTGCAAGCATCAAAAGTCAAAACTCTCAAAAACCCAATTTATAGATATAAAATTAAGAAATAATAATAATAAATAAATAAATAGAACTTCATAGGAAAAGAGAGAGAGAGAACACATAAATCATTTGAACAATAAACAAATGCAAAGAAATGGCAGATATACCTCACTACAAATGCAAAATGCACCTAAGTGGAAGAAAGAAACAGATATCTTAAAATTATTTGAAAGCAAATTGACATCTCTAAACTCTCATAAGATGAGTTGATCTAACCAAATTTAGTAGAAAAAATGTATTGATATCTACAAATTTCACATAGTGAGCATCTTAAGAAAGGTGCTCCGTAAGTCCCATAATGTCATACTTTCTAATCCATATCCCCTGACCAACCCAAAAGGAGGGTGTTCAAAGCAAAATTCTCGTTCCTGAGATGTTACTCAT